AAAAATAAAATATATATATAGTTTGTATAATTTATATTTACATATATTTGAAATAAATAAATAAATATTATATAATAGGTTTTAATACCTAATAAACTCATTTATTATTTTCAAAAAAAAACTGTTTAGACCATATTATAAGCTTTATTTATATGTATTTATTTATAGTTTAGTATATATTTTTTAATCATTACAATAAAGAATTTTATATTTTTTTTAAATTATAAATTGAAGTTATTTTTCTTAAATTTAAATTTATTCTTATAATACAGATTTAAATGTTAACAGCTAACTGATGTTTATAATAATTATGTATTAATTTAAAAATACTTTTCTTAATTTAAAGCACATTTTCTAATTTGCTTTCCACACATTGGCGTGATTCTCCTACAAAGAGTAATTAGTTGATTGATTTATGAGTCAGATAATAACTACCCATCGAGTGGAGAAAGTTACTTAAAATTTAAGGAGTTGAAAAATTCAGTTTTCTTTTCTCTTAATTTTTTAAAAGAATTTTACTAAGCGTGATACATTTGTATTTCCGAGACCGTGCCTTCCTTTATTTGTTTGTTTCTTCACTACTAGGTGCATAAATAGATACAAGACATTTTACATCATCTTTATTGATCTTCTATTGGCCGATACGCATTTCGGGCATTTGAGAAAATGCTAGATGTCGAACCACGAAACCTTCACTTGTAATAGTGAATTAAAATCATAAATATATTTTAAACAGCAATGATATTTTAACGATTTTAACTGTAAATACATAATTTTAAACATAAAAAAATATATATGTAGCAACGAAATTTAAAGACGATTCCAGATGTAATGCCGACGGATGAAGGGCCTTGCCCGAAACGTGTATCGGCCAATAGAAGATCAATAAAGATGATGTAAAATGCCTTGTATTTATTTATGCACCTAGTAGTGAAGAAACAAACAAAAAAATTTATTTGGTTTGATAAAAGCTTAATTATTTCTTGATTAATATATTAAATATAGTTAATTAAGACTAAGTGTATTTAGTTAGTTTGTTTATTATTTAATAAGAAAATATTTGGAAAATATTAATGATAATTTGCTAAATATTAATTAATTATATTAAATAAAATTCTAAAAAGTAATAATGATAATATTGAATAAATTCGAAATTTATAAATTAAAAATGTATATTCGAAAATATGTTTATTCATTAAATTTTATAGTTTTATAAAACTATATCGAATTAAAAATTTTACGATCTTCTAAAATTTCGATAAATGTTTTATTATTTAGTTTAAACTGAACAACTATCAAATGATGGAGCTCATTGTTCTAAACCTTTTAACGCTAATCACTTAAAGACTTCATGTGCTAATATTAATGTCTTAATAATGACAATACAGCACGTATATCAATTAAGATCTTAATTTCAACTATATTTTCGTTATTTCCATATATCTTTTCTCGCCTAAAGAGTGCGTATATAATTTATAAATTCGTACGTAAGTAATTTTGATGTTGTGTTCTTCACTAATTAATTATTTTTCATATAAATTAAAGAGTGCTTTTCTAAACAAATCATTATCAAAGAATCGAATCGTATCATTCTTATTTATTTATCATTATTTTCTGTTATTACTAAATTAAAACATTACAGATTTGAAATTAATATCGTAAAATGTTATTATTCAATAAAAAGTGAGTTTTTAAAATAATTTTTATTTTGTCAATTATTAACAATTTTAAAATAAAATGATATCAGTCAACATATTAATTTTTAAAAAATTTCATAGGAAAATTGTTAACTGATACTTGTTCGATGTTTTTACACAAAACAAAACTAAAATGTCCAGCACTAATTTATTATTGGTCTATCTGTAAATGCATGTACAGTACATATATAGTAATTAGTAGTATTACCATAGCAATTTTAGAATAAAATCGTTAATAATTTTTGTACGTAATAAAATGTTATATATACTCATATAAAACGTATAATTCAATAAAGTTAAATGACACTTCCATTATATTCTTGTTAACTTTTGTATTATATTTTAAAATCAATTTAACTATACAAAAATTAATTATATAAGTTAATACATTACTAAGATACATTATCTCTTTTAAATGGAAAACATATGTTGTCTCAGTTCAGCCTCCAATCTTAATTCAACAACCAATGAAACAACATGACTGTTTCAATAACCAATAAACAACTTTGCTTATATCGATAGCAAAATGAAACCTAGAAAATATGTAAAACCGTACAACAGCTATTTTAAGAACTTGAATATGTCAAGTCACGGACTTAATCAAGGAAATTCCGAATTGTTAACTAAATGTAGCGTGAATTCAAGAAATTTTGCAATAGATGCTCTATTAGGAAATATAAATAAATCGAATGAATTAACTCATTCAGAAAAATATATCAACAAGCAATCAGCTTCAAGCAATTATTTCTCAACTGTAACAGGTAAGATATATAGACTATTTATATTATCAATACTATGATTATGAACATTTTACAGATTTTCTTTGTTCAGTGTTTATCATCTGTTACCTCAGTTCATTCTAGAAATAATCTATTTTTTTATTTTAATAAAATAAAGATAGTCTACTTTTATTATAAAATATAATAACTTTTTTTGTCTTTTTGTGCATATGTATTTAATAAATACCTCGAAAACAGTTGATAAACAAACTTTAGTCTTGAAATTTTCACTAGAGTTAAAGTTTAACAATCTAAAATAATAATAATAATATGTAAAAAGTTATTTAATTCTAAATAAATTATTAATCATTAAAAGCGCATATAATGCTAAAATATTTTTATCTAATACTGTATATGCAACGTTAAGTTAATTGACATTTTAAAATTTTCGTTAAACTGATCTAATATTTTAAAGAAATAATTTTTTTTTATGGTAAACTCATTTAACTTTGGTTTATGTATCATTTTGATTAACATATATAAATACTTTACTTTTTTTTACTTCTAGATTTAAAGCTACATAAACAAATTTACAACAGTATATAAACAAATTTATAATCTGTATATATATAAATCTTAATAGACAAATAATAACAAATTTTAATGTGAAATATTGTTTTATTTGCTCTAATTAAAATAATATATTTACCGAAACTAAATAAATTAAATTATAAATTAACAAAACAGGAATTCTTCACATAAAGATATTTAATATACTATCTAATAAGAAATTGCCAAAATATGTATGATTAAATTATATTACAAATATTATACAAAAAGTAGCATAAACATTAAAAATAAAAATTTCCAGTTAAGAAGTGATATATAAATCTCTTTAAATATTTATTTTAGTATTAACTTTTACCATGTGAAAAATAAATAGACTGTAGTCTAAATTTTTATACGTTACCTTTTTAAAAATATTATTTAGAAAAAGAATCATTATATATTTTAAAATTATTTATTTTATTTAATTGTACGAGTCTTAATAATACTATAAATCATATGGTTTGTAATTAATAAATATNAATAATAATTTAAATTATAAAATATTTATTTATAGATTTAGTAATAAATTTTATTATTAACGCTATAGTTAAACGGACAAAAATAATTGGAGAAAAATAACTCATATACTTTCGTAATACAATCATTGAAAATATTTTCAATTTGTTCAGTTTTTGTATTAAATAATTCAGAGAAAACTTAATTAGATTTATTTTTTTTTCGGTCGACCGTTTCACTTATGCTTCAAATAAATTATTTAACTCGCATTAAAGTATAAGTTTAGTTATATTTGATATTTACTTTTTCTTAATTTATTCAATCTTTGAGATGATTCTGTACATTTTTGTTTAATTCAGAAGTAAATAGAAATTTAATATTTATAGATTCTTAATTAATATGCATTTAATTAAAATTTTCTAAATATTTTATTAAACGTAAATATGATGATTTAACAAAATACTTTAAAATTTTATGCAAAAATAATCTATTTTTATAAATAAATTTCAAGTTTGTTCAGTTAAGATTATATCGAAGATATTCTTACTATTTATATTTGTTATATTTAATTATTTACAATTTTACTTTTTGTTTATCTAATTTATTAAATATGTAAAATTAATGAGGATGTAAAATATTAAATTCTAAAATAGTTTATTATTATTTACAGAAACAACTTATCGACAGTTGAACATTTCTAAGAATTTAAATGACAAAATACAAGATACAGGTGATGTACGATTGGAGCTTTGTTCGAGAAGTTTGTGGACACAATTTAGTTGTATTGGCAACGAAATGATCGTTAATAAAACAGGAAGGTATTATTAAATGTTTTTACATTAATTAATAATTAATATTTACATAATCTTTTAAGTAGAAATTACTGTTTTAATGTTACAAATAAAATCTTGTTAATTGCTTTTTTATTAAGCCATTTTATAAAATATTAAAAGTAGTGTAAATTGTTATTTTAGACGCATCTTTCCGCCTTTAAAAGTGAAAATCACGGGTCTTCAACCGGAGAAAAATTATGTTATATGGGTGGAGATTGCAGCAGTTAGTGAAAATCGTTATAGGTATCAATATCAAAGGTAAATATTCTATCAATGATATCTTATTCTAGATATTTTAATTCCATAATATGAATATTTTTATTAGATTATTAAAACTATTAAAGTAAAATTCAATAAACAATTTTTATTTGTATTAATATAGCTGTAAATGGGTAAAAGCTGGAATAGGAGAACCTCAAGATCCTCAAAATAAGTATATACATCCTGATAGTCCAGCTACAGGACGTTATTGGATGACCCAAATCGTCTCTTTTGACAAATTGAAATTGACTAATAACAAATATCCAAAACTTCCTAATCAAGTAAACAGTTTTCTCTTTTAAATATTTAAAATTATAATAATCTATAACATTTATTATATAATTTGTATTTATTTCATGTTTCTCTGTTAATCAGGTTATTGTTCATTCAATGCATAAATATCAACCTAGATTTTACATTTTACCTGTCGAAGATATCGTTACGAATGTTGAAAAGCAAATAAACCCATGCAAAGCTCTTAAATTCGAATTTAAAGAAACAACGTTTATAACTGTGACTGCGTATCAAAACCAAAATGTAAGCTTATAATTTTAAATGATTTATTTATATTCACAAAGTATTAACTAAAATCGATTTTTATAAATCTACTGAATGTTTTTTCGATTAAATTTTCTTAATCAGTATGTAAATATCAATATTAAGGTTTATTTTATTATAAAATCTATTATTATTAAACTCTATTAATACAAATTTATTATCTAAAATTTATTTAAATTTTTCAATTAAAATGTTATAAATATAATAAAAGTTCTCTAATCCAGCATTTATGAGACCAGAATTCCCGATTATCGAAAATACAAACCGTCCGGTAATTCGGCATTTTCTCAAACTTCGATGTTATTCGCCATCTAAATGGTGTAGACATTGCTATACATTTTGTATTAGAGAATGTTCTGATATAAAATGTATAGAAATGCTTCATACGCCCTTAATCAGTCTAAGATGATACAGTGCATTTCTATACTGTTGATTGGGATTGTGTTAAGATTGATTGAAAAAGCTGAATAAACGTTAATGAACACGTTATTGCACAATAATTTCATGTGTATATAAGTTAAAATATTTATTTTTCTGACATATGCAGTATATATGCGATTCACAAAATCTACACATGTTCTACACAAATGGAATTGAGAAATCTGTTTTTAAGTGTGCTGACTTTACATTGTCCTGTGAGAAAGAAAATATATCAGTCATGCACGTTACTGAACACAAAACACCTGTGCTAAATCTAATGTGTCCAAACAAATTCGATTTGCGGAATACTAGAATGTCAGTTATTGGACATTTCTGGATTATCCGCTGCTTTTCAAAGAGTGCCGAATTACCGGATATTCGAGACTATCGGACGCCGGAATAACGAACTTATACTGTATATTAAAATTTATTTTTTACTGGCAAGACTTACGTTAATTACATTTATTTCATTAATAGATAATTAAATTAAAGATTTATCATAACCCATTCGCTAAAGGTTTTCGTGAAATAAATCGAAGCAAGTAAGTCATTGAAATTCATGTTATATAAAACTTATATTTAAAATATAAAAAATAATTCTATTTATGTTGCTTTAGGGAGTCGAATAAATCGAAATATCCAATGTATCAGCTTTATTCTTCTCTGCATAATTTCAAGCCAATTTCGAAAGGTTAGTACTGTACACATTTATATTATCTAATATGATGAAAAGAAAGTTAAATATTTTAATAAGCATATTTATTAACAAAGCCATATCGTATATTGGTAACACATAGGCTAAATTTCTTCAAAAAATAATATATATTATTTATCGTATAAACCTAATTGAGTTTTTAATAACTCATCATAGAATAAGTTACTTTTATGAATGAAAAGTAAAACTTAAAAAATTATTTTTAACCTATACGATTAAATTAAAATGCTTAAGACGATGAAATTAATATTTAACGTAATTTATTTTATTGTTTATCTCGAAATTAATACCGATTTTCAAAGCTATTTTATTAAATATTTAGTATTACAACAAAGTTTAATACAGTGAATCATACAAAATAATTAGAATAGAATAAATACTTTTAAAACAGTAATAGCAATATTATTCTTATTTCGTATTAGTTATTTTCTTGGATACAGTAAATATTTTTCAAGAATTACATAATAACTGGATATGAATTATGTATAATGTGTAATCAATTTCTAATTATTCTACAGTTATTCTTAATAATATTATTTCTTAATAAATTATACATTAAAAGATGTATAATAAATTCTTTAATTGTTTGTTGATTTTTACAATTAAATTATTATTTTATATTTAACTATAAGATTATAGTATAAAGGTTGATTTACGTGAAACCGTTTCCGCTAACATTTTGATGGTTTAAGCTTATTATTTTAATAGTATTTCTAATTAGCTTTAAGTTTGGCAAAATCAAATAACACCCATAAAGTAGAAGCATGAAAAATATTTTAAAAAGATTAAAAAACATATGAATTACATATTTTAATGTTTATTATAAAGAGTTTTAACTCTAGCTGACAAGTGAGAAGTATCTCTAAATTTGACTTTTTATGTTTTGTAAAAACAATAAATGCTTTGTGTCTTTTAGTTTAATAAATTTTCTTAATAACAATGACGTTTTGACAAAAAACTGATTTTTTTTTAAAAATGTACATTTGTTACCGGTATGATCTTTAAAGTCAAAAATGGATCAAGGAGAAAAATTTACGGGGACAATTTTTAATTCGCGTAATAGTATAAACAATATATAAAAATGTTACTGTTTTAATAATTACTTAAAGTACAGTAATTACTTAAAGTACCCCTATTATTCTGAGTCAGCGGGAGTGTAAACTCCCGGTAACTCAGACTAGTAGGGGGTAAAGATTATCCTAGTTTATGAAAGTCCGAGTTAACGGGTGTTTTCTCCTACGACGTGGAAAACGAGGTGGATATACAGTACAATACAGTATACAGTACAAAAGACTTTTTACAGCAGTTTTACGAGCTTTAGTAGGATATACTGCTGAATATATTACTACAGGAAATGAGCTCAAAAAATTTGCCGACAGGACGCTATACAGCAAAGTAGTCGTTATAAATTTACCGATTACTGATTACAGTAATATCTCAAAGATTTTCGGATATCGAACACACTCATTAAAAATAGATCACAAACATAAATTGAGCATTTTTTGGCTGCAATTTTTGAAATTTTAGCCAATAAATGTTCAATTTATGTTTGATTGTGATCTATATTTATGATAATAGAAAACAGAAATTGAGTATAGGTCATAGCCAATTTACGTTTTGATATGACCTATACATTTCCACTGTAGTCCGTTCGTCCGTCCTTCGTTGATCTCTAGAACGGAGTTAGATGAAAATCGAGAGACCAGATACGGAAAGGTTATTTTTAAATCTAAACTATGATTTAAAAATTGCAGCTCGGCGTTATGACATGTCACAATAAGTAATTTATTTTTGTAACCTTTAAAGATATAAAAAGTCTTATCTATGCAACGTAGCTTGTACGGCTTTTGTGCCAAAAAACCTTAACAAACCAACCAATCTTATCTATGAAAACTATTCATAAATATATAGGGGAGACCGGGGCAAGATCGGCATGTTAAGCTTTACTTAAATTTTGTGTAATAAATACTGCTGTAAACTGAAAAAAGAGCTTTGCATATTGTCTATTGGAATGTTACCTTACTATAGAACTGGTTAAAATCAGTTTGGAAATAAAAATAATTAAAATAATTACAACTTTACAAGAAGAGAGAAATTGACGAAGTTGCCCCGGGTATAGGGGCAAGATCGGCAACTTCTCTCTTTTTGTAAAGTTGTAATTATTTTAATTATTTTTATTAAAGTTGCC